TGCTGGGAATTGAACTCAGGACTTCTGGAAGAGCAGTCAGTTCTCTTAATCTTTGAGCCATCTCGCCAGCCCTCTTCACTAATGTTTTAATCAGAACGTCTTACCTGAACTTGAAGTAGTTCTTCTTGCTCTCAAAATGGGATAGCTGCCTACTTCTAAAGACTTAGTTAAGTCCAGATCGTGCAAAATCAAGAGATATCCAGAGGATGTTGAGATCAACATTTTGGAACAATCTGGTGTTAATCTCATTCGCATGAGAAAACGTGTATGAAAGAATTTCTTATGTGGACACCCATCTTCTGTACACCTAAGAAGAAATCAGACCAACACAGTTAGTGTTACCACAGGTATAATGGCTCTCGGTACCAGTCCAATTGCTTCACTCTTAAAGCAGAATGGAGAACCGATGAATACTTCATACACATACTTATGATGCTTTACTTACCACCCCATCCTAATCTCCGACCCTCCTATTGAGATAATTTTCTGAGTATACCTTTACAATTTTTAAGCAAACCTTTATTAAAGTAAACTCTCACACCTTTCATTCTTTTGAACGAAGGTTTCACTGAGTAGACAACATAAGGATGACAATGGCTCCTCTGTGAATGAGAGGAGACTATTTCACAGCTGCTATTGCCAGTCTGCTATCAGCCTGTTAATTAGGATAAGATATTTTTTTTCTCCACTTCCTTTGGTTGATCTTAGAATCCTGCAATTTTACTTTGACACATAAGAATTTAGATTTTAATTTTTCTTTATGGAGATTCACAAGTGTTTCTAAATCTTACTATATGTATTATTCAGACATTGAAAATTTTAGTCATTATCAACATTGCCTCTCATCCATTTCCTCTGTTCTGCAGACCTAGATGTTTGGAACATTCACAGTTGATGACTCTGTTCTTTCGTCTTTCTTATCTCTCCATTTCTCTTTGTTGTGTTCTGGGAAACTTTTTAATTATCTAATTTATTATTTTAAATTGTTTGTGGGGGGAAAATCCTCAGCACCTCTAGCAGGCTAAGCATGCACTCTACTGAGACACAACCCAACCTTTTTTGCTTCCTTAATTATATTTGGTTCTTTTTCAAGATCTGTCTGCCTAGTCTCTTTAATAGATTTTCATTCATTTTTAAATTTCCTTTTTTGGTTATTATAAAAGTCGTGAACTATATAATAACCACACTTGTGGAGGACAACCTGCAGGAATTGGTTCTCTCCTTTTACCATGTGGGTCCCAAGGATTAAAACCTTGTGGCAGGTGCCTTTACCCATTGAGCCACCGTGACAGCTAAATAAAACACATTGAGAATTTTTAAATGAAGAGCTGTGACTCATTACCCAGAGACTGAACAGTATTAGTTCATTAAAAAGCTTCTCTTTCTACTGTATCTTATTTTTGCTTCAAGCACTCAAGTATTATATAAAAGAGAATATGGGTAACTAGTTACTATGTTTTATTCTCCTTATGTTGTCTCTTTATCATCCTCCAAATAACTTATTTATGTTTCCTTTATTACAAGTTTTTCTCAATCATCTGATTATCATTGAATGCCTTCTCATAGTTTAAGAGCAAGGAATTCAAGCCACGGTGAACACTGAGTACAGGGTAAGGTGAAGCCATTTCTAAGGAAGCTCTTAGTGCTTAGATCTTTGGGGCCAATAGAAAGAAACTAAAAATGTCTGAGCTCAACATTCAGTGTGCATTACTACTCAGTCACCTTGGTTTTGGCAAGGCACTGAAGCCTCCAACTGTTTCTGGCATCTTTCTTCTTCTTCTTCTTCTTTTTTTTTTAATAGATCCAATCATGTCCATTTATTGACTAAACCAATCATGGGCAAAGACAAAACTAGCTTTTGGGACAGGTGCCTGGGGAAGTGTGGGGGAGGGGGTCACTTGTAAAACTCATGTTCCTGCTCATCTTTCTTGATCACGGTCTTGTAGGCTTTCTCGAAGTCCTTACATCTGTTGACAAACATGAGAGGCATCTTTCAATATGGCAATATTTTCTATATTGCCCTCTTTGCAGAAATAGAAACTTCCACAAAAATGATGCACACTGCCCATTAGGAGTGGTGGAGAGTAAAGCTGTAAGTTCTTAAATATTTCTCATGCAAATCTCCACTTTAGCTACCCCTTTCAGTACAGGATACCCAGAGTTACCAATTCCTAGGGTTTTTGAAAATTCTTGGTAAACTAAAGTTTTAAACTTTTCCTTCTGCAACTTAGGATTTAGTTTTCTTTTTTAAAATTACTTTTTGTAATTTTAAAATTTGTGTGTGCGTGTGTGCATCATATGGGTACAGGTGTCTGGGGAAGCCAAAAGATGGTGTTGAATCCCCTGAAGCTGTAGTTATGGCAGCTGTGAGCCACCTGACGTGGTGCTGGGAACAGAACTCAGTTCCACTGGAAAAGCAGTAGGTACTCTTAAACCCTGAGCCATCTCTCCAGCCCTAGGATTTCGTCGTCTTGAACTTCTTGAATGAAACTGCCATTGCTAAACCAATTGCCATTCATCTACCTGCCTCCCAGCTTCTAAAATTCTATTGTCTAAATTCTTCTATTTTCCTATCATTAAGTTTATGTCTGACCTACTGCCTCACCCACTTTGGTTTTGAGACAGGATCTCACTATGTAGCCTTTGACTGACCTGGAAATTATTATGTAGACTAAATTGGAAATAAACTTGATGAGATTCTACTACTTCTGGGATTATTATAGTTTTTTGAGTCTTTTTATCTATAGGCTTTATTTACATATTATAAAGGCTTAAATGTAGGTCTTACAATTAACATAAATTTGATTTCTGTGAAATTATATACTGTAGTTCCATGTGGAGTCATACTGTAGTTCCAGCACCTAGGCGGTTAAGGCAAGAGGACCTAGAGTTAGAGACTAGCTTGGTCTACATATTTAAGTTCCAGGCCAGTCTTAGTAACTCAGTGAAACCCCATCTCAAGTTATATATAACAATCTGGGTGTGGTGGCACTAGTTGTAAGAGACACTATTTCAAAAACAAAACCCAACCACCAATCAAACAAATAAACCAACTAAAACTTACGTATTTATATTTGTGAATACATTTAAGTCTATATATGAAACACATACACACTTTATTTCCAAAGTACAAGCATATTTGCCTATATACTAACTCTGGCAGGAAGACAGCAAGCTCAAGGATAAATCAGGCTACAAAATGAGATCTGTCTCAAAATAAAACAACAACAAAAAAAAAAACTTTTAAAACAATTTTAAGGGTACAATCACACAAGAAAATAGGAACATGATGTGTACATTACCTTATATATAGTAATCTTTAGTTGTTTTTGTTTTGTTTTTTTCCAATATAGGATTTCTCCGTGTATCCCTGGCTGTCCTAGCACTCTCTCTGTAGAACAGGCTGGCCTTGAACTCAGAGATCCACCTGCCTCTACCTCCTGAATTCTGGAATTAAAGCCATGTACCACTACCACCCAGTCTTTAGTTATTTTTAACTGAGTAAAACATGGTCTATAAAATTGTATATGAGGGGCTAGAGATATGGCTCATTGGTTAAGAGCACTGACTGCTCTTCCAGAGGACCTGGGTTCAATTCCCAGCATCCACATGGCAGCTCACACTTGTCTGTAACTACAATTCCAGGGCTTCTGACACCCTCAGACATACATGCAGGCAAAACACCAATGAACACAAAATAGAACTAAATCACCAAATAAATAAATAAAATTGTAAAAGAAAATTGTGTACGCTTACGGTATATAACATGACTTTTCTTAAGTGGTGCTAGGAAACAAACCTGGTGCTTGCACATACTAAACCTGTGCTCTACTACTAAGCTACATTCCCAGCCCACAACATGTTTTGAAATGTTTACATTGTTACACTAATAATTAACTTATGTATTACTTTATATACTTTCAAGAATTTAAAAAAAATTCTTTTTGGTTTTGAGACAGTGTCTTTCTACATAGCTCAAGTTGTTCTGGAACTCACTATGTAGACTAGGCTGGCCTTGAACTCACAGAGCTAGGCCTGCCTCTGCCTCTTAAGTGCTGGGATTAAAGGCATGTGCTACCAAGGCAGGGGGCCTTGAGAGGGCTCAGGGATTTTCAGAATTACACACTGTTATTAATTATGGCTACATTCGCTGTCCCTAATTGAAATTTTGTATCTGCTGACCAACCTTTCCTCTGTGCAACAGTTTTCAGTTCCTTAGGTAAATTTCCATTATTCCAATCACTGCTTCTCCAAGTCTACTTTTCTAATCTGTCATTCCATGTTTGGCTTATTTCACTTAAGATGTGTCCACTAGGTTTATCTATGTTTCTGAAAAAGATTTCTTTATTTTAAGGAGCTGAATAATATTGTGTGTGTATGTATCACATTTTAAAAATCCACTCATCTGCTGTACAATGACTGCAGACTTTTAGCAACTAACTTAAGCTCCTCTGGACATGTACCTAGTAGAACAACTGCTTGATTATTATGTGAGTTCTTTTTTTCTTTTTTAGGAAATTCCATACTTTCCCATAATTTATATCTAACAATTTTGTTAATGCTTATTAATTTGATTATTTCTCTGAAGACTTTCTAGGGTTTTTGTTTTTTGTATAGATGAGGGGTTGGAAAGTTATGGCTATGGACCAAACCTGGTCCACTGGCTGGTTTATAAAATATCCATGAACACAACCGCACCAACTCATGTATTGTTCCCATGTGACTGCTCAGAAACCACACACTACCAAAAGCTAAAATATTTACTTGGTCTTTCAAAGAAAGTTTGCCAATACCTGTGAGTCACATAATCTGTGAATAATATTAAATTTCCAATCCATCTACATAATGATGATTTTTATTGTACCATCCTACCCATGACACCAATTAACAACAGTAGTAATGGTGGGCATATTCTCTTTCCTAATTTTATAGAGAAACTTCTGGAGATTTTACCATTAAAAACTGTCCTGAGATACTGAGACATTATCACTCAGTTGTTAGAGCGCTTGTCAAGCATGCACAAAACTTTGTGTTTGATCCCCAGCAGCACATCAACTGGCTATGGATGTGCACATCTGTAATCCTAGGACTCAGAAGATAAAGGTGGGGGGATAAGAAAGATGTTCACGGTCACCTTCAGCTACATCAGAGTTTCAGGCCAGCCTGAGCTGGAAAAATTGTCTCAAAAACAAAAAAAAAAACAAAAACAAAAACAAAAAAACCCCCCAAAACAAAACAAAAAAACTGCTGAATATGTATACTTTGGTGAACTTCTACTTCTGTTTAATCATTTGGTTTTCGTAAAGT